AACCCAAAGACTGCAGATAGAAAGTTTTAAGTCTCCCAGGGGACAGGGGGCACTTTCTCCCTGGCTACCAGTATTCCCTAGTCATCAAGACACACTGCAGTCATTATCCAAGGCCGTCTGAACAACCCCCATCAAGTCTGGGATAGTAGTGTACACAGTGCAAGGGACCCGTTTAGACCTGGGAATGAGTAGACTCAAATCAAATCGGGCATTTCTTCATGACTTGCGTTCAAAGAAACCTCCCGAAACCCAGGACGCACTACTTTCCCCAAGCAGAAATGAAAACAAGGCCTCATGTGGCTCTTCCACCACGGAACAATGACAGCACTTACTCCTGCACGGTGGCCTCCAGCTCACCAGCTGCTCTCAGACCTTATGTCACACAACTGTCACCTAAGGCCAGCCGTGTTTTACTACACTTTGGGGACGTGAAGCTCAAGCATCGCTTGAGCACGTTAGCGTAGACAGCCGGCATCATGGACTTTGTCTCTTTGTTTCTGGTCCCTCGTGACACAGTGACATCACCGAGTAAAACTCCAGACCAAGGTTCCTATGTAGACAAGAAGGCTCAAACTTGTAGGACAGCTACATTCATCCAGGTCACACAACTAGTCAGAGTCATCTCTGAAACTAAGCGCCAGACCTCCTGAATTTTCCCTGTCTCTTCCTATCAACAATTGTCCGTATATACAAACTAGGCAGGCATTCCTGGGTTATCAAACTTAATGCACGGGCCGACCATCTAGTTTGTTACGGAAAAAGTATAATTTCCCTTTTTTTCTTTCCATTGCAGATCAGCGACAGCAAGTTGCTATTGAAGCAATATGGATATACGAGCTGGGAATGGAGCATAAATTTGAATTACAAATCTCAATATCACTTTAGTACAAAAAAAATCTTTATGAGCTTCACTTCCTGACAAGATAAATTTCCTTTTGAGAGCTGTACTGTTACATAGACACACAAGTTCCAAATCCTGAAATGCAAAGACAGAAGTGTTATCCAAACTGACTGTATCAGACTCGAGGGCATTTAAACCCCACAGTAGAGCTTTTATTGGTTGATTGATTGAGTGATTGCTCAAAATAAAATGTTTAGAAAGCTAGAACTCTTACTCTAATATCTACAACAAACTTGTAGACTTAAATGTGGGCTCAGAAAGTTTGGGGTTTATATTAAGTCAAACATATCACATGTATTTAGGCTCAGCTCAGAACAATGTTGCTAACACTTCCCATTTCTTCCCAGAGTTCTTTGGGGGTATTATTGACATGAAGAACAAAAAAAGAAAGAAAATGTCACCTCAGCGTGGGCAGAAAAGGGATTTGATGAACATAGCAGAGCTTGTGATAAAAAAAAAGGGGGGGGATCTTGTTTTGTGTTGTGGTTTTGTTTTATTTTTCCATATCAAGAATCATGGAACTAGTTAGTTATACCTACAAAGGGCCATCTTTTTTTTTTTTAAATGCAGTCTGTACTATCTCTCAGCTGAACAGACTGTATGAGGTTCATGGTCTCAGCACCCTACCTGGAGATGGGAAACGCTCAATGTGTCAGGGAAGCAGATCTAGGCTAGTATGTACAGAGCAACGGGTACTTGGTGCTGTTTCTTCTAAGATGAGGACTGCCCGATACCCATCCCTGCTCACTATGTTTGACACTGGCCTAGGAATGACCCTTGCAAGCAGTAGAACTTTGCTGTGGCACAAGGGATCACTTAGGGTAGTGAACTTTTTTCCTGCCCATTGAAGGTCCCAGGAAAGATCTAAAAGCCATTTCTTCATGGTTTGGAGGGTCTCAGAGAGCGCAAATTCAGGGGTAAATATGTAGGAAAAACACAGAAGTTCGTCCCAAAGACAGCTTGGCCAACCATTCCTTTAAAACACTAAAGCCCCCTCCCTATTCCCTATCACCAACTCCCCATAAAGACAGGCAGCCCTTTCCTCAAACCTGATGGAGCCTGAATGCATTCATTTGGTGTAGTTAGATTGGGTCCTTGGACTATGGTACCAGGATGAAGAGGCGAGAGTGGGAGGCGCTGACAATGATTTACTAGGGCAGTGAGCCCCGGTCCAAAGTAGCTTCCTTTCCACCCCCTGGTGGAAGGCTAAGACCTTCCCTTCTAGCTAGCATCCAGATAGGAGCCCCAAATCCGTCGGTAACCAGGCATATGGGGCAAAAATAGAGCTAACAGGAGAGAACCTGAAGTCTGGAACTGAGTGAGCCACAGGTGCACGAACGTCGCTAGCCTTTCTGGGAATCCCACACAACCCTACAATCTTCCATATCCCTGAAATTCCAAAAGTGAAACTGAAAAGTTTGGGAACTGTCTCGGGAACCAGGTTTCCTGGCATTGTCTCCGGTACTCCAGGATGCTGCACTATTATATCAAGAAGGAGCACCCGCCTCTGCTCCTCACAGGTTCCCCGGAATCTCCCTTGGATTTTTTATGCAAAGCCACTGGAGTGCCCCAAGTCTCCTCTGTGCAGCGCTGGTCGCTCACACCACTTCAGTTCCTCCCTCTTCTCGCCGCTTTCCATGAAAAAGGAATACTTGGGCCCGGCGACAATCCTGTGGAATATTCTTTGGAATTAACTGGATACTAAATTCCATAGCCCGAACCGGTGCAAAATTGTGGGTTTTGAAGCCTTAGGAGGAGCTACGCCCTCATCAGCGGCAACGTCAAGGAGGAAGAAGGGAAGGAGCCATGGTTAAAACTGCAGTTTACAAACACCAAACACAGATTTTGTACTTATCCTTATTTAAACAGAGCCCACGGATGCCCTCCCCTACCCCCATCCCCATCCCCGGGGACGCGCAGGCTGTGAGTGCTGGGGACGCGCCGCGTGCTCTACTTGGGAAGATGAAATGCTTCCTGTCCCGCCAGTCAACAGTCGCTCAGGTGGGAAGGAATAACCTGCGGTGGAGTCTCTAAAGCTCATCTCCCACCCACCTGACACCACGAGCGGACTGGACGCCCCCACCCTACTTAGCGGAGTCTGAGGAACCCAATAAAATCACCCTCTGGGTCCCTGCAACTGCCAGGTGACCACGTTGTTACAGTAACTACAGACCTGGCTGGTCCTGATTTTTAATCCAATCCTTTATAAATGCCTCCTCGATCTTGGCCTAGCGCTTTCACATCCGTTGGCGGAATAATGTCCTCCCAGACCAGCCCTCACCAGAGACCGCGAGCGCCTGAAGTGTGGCTCACGCCCACTCTCCCAGGCTCTTTTCTGCTCAACCCGCCGCGCAAACCTTACTCCTTGGCTGCGTCGTGGACACGGGCGACCCCTATCGGGGACCCCTGTTCCCAGCGAGGCAACTACGATCATGCATTCTGGGTGGCTTTTTTCCAGGTCCGGGTTTACTGGCTTTCCTAAGAACCCCTAGAGTGGCTCCAATCTTTGTCTCCAAACTCCACTCTTATACCCTCCCATACCCGTCCAGACGTCGGACGTAGACCTTTCCCCTGCACTCCAACTTCCCTTCACACCACAAGACTACAGCCTAGCCCCGAGCGCATACTCATGGAGGACACCCCTCCCGCAGCAGTCCGGTTGGTTTCTAAACTGAGCTAGGGACAATTTTTTCCTAAAATTCACTCCCCATCCATCACCTTTCCTAGAACGGGAAAATCGAAAGTGACCTGGCAGCTCTTGAGGTTGACCTTGTATGCCTTTTGCTGGGAGGTCCGTGCTTCCTCATTCTCTGCAAGCCTCGGCCCCGGGCCCCCAACCTCCCACCTTTGCAGGGAGTGCGGGAAAACAGGAGCCTATCCCTAAACGTGGCACGTACCTAATCTCCCCGGACACAAAATCCCATTGACTGCGTGCAGCCCTCCCGACTGCACCGAGTACCCTGGACAGTTAGTCTTTTTAATAAGCACCTCCTCGCTCCGCCTATTCCACGCAAGATCCAACAAACACGGAGGAAAAAAGAAAATACAACCCCTAGAAGAGCGAAATTAATCATTCCCTCTGCCCTCGTGGATTCTGCACCTCGTGTCAGCAGTTTGTCACGTCAGAACGTGGTAGAGTCTGGTTCCGACACACACACACACACACACACACACACTGACGTGGGGGATGGGGGTCTCTTTAATACACACCCTAGCGACTGCACATACAGACTTGTGCACGGTTCCACAAGCACACACACGAGGCAGTTGCGCTTGGTTGCCCTCATCCCGGCCCGAAACACCCCTCCACCTTGGACCCTCTAGCAATGGACTAAATACAGATAAACCACGGGGGGAAAAAAACTGGAAAAGCTAGCTTCTCCTCTTTTTTCCTACTTAATTCGCTAAAGAAGCTCCTGGAGTAACCAAAAGGAGTCGAAACTAAGGCGTGGCCACTTTGCTTGGGTTTTTTCCCACCTCAAAAGCTTTATTTTCAGTTTTTAAAAGCCACCTTAGCCCGCCATATTGGAACTGGTACGGTGTCTAAAGACTCCTTCCCCGCTGCTGTAGCGCTTCCAAGAAAACACAAGTAGGGACTGAGCTGAAGACGTGTGTCCGGCCACTGCAAATCAACCACTTCCCACACCCAATGTTCTCCCTTGCCGAGCCTAATCTCTTTCAACCGCTCCAAGTCAAAAATCAAAACATACATCTAGCAGTTCTTACCGTTGCTTTTTTTTTAAAAGAGGATTTCAGCAAGACACACACGCACATAAAAATAAATAAATAAACTCCAGAGCTCGATTAGGTTAGTAATTCTGAAAAGAGACAAGATGAGTGTACACAAGAAAGCCCCGAGTGACGGGATGTTACTTTAAAGGGTAACAAAAATGAACAAAAAGATCGCCCTTGCTAGAGCTCGCTCCGAAACTACTATTGACAATTTCAATTCCGCTGCACAAGGCAAATGTTTCCAATCGGGCGATTCCAAATGTCTGCGCGATTTTGCAAACAGCCCCCACCCCACCGCTGCTGATTTACAATTCTACCACCACCACCTTCTTCTCCCTCGCCCCCCCCCGAAACCCCCAATACACACCAAAAGAGGAAGACCCCAGAGCGGAGGAGACGCGGGAACGCGGGGTAGGTGGCAGAGGCGGCTGCGTCGCTAAAACGAGTGCACAAACGAGGAAGGTGGGCGGCGGGAGGGAACAGGCTGCACCCGGAGGAGGACGAGGTCACTTTGCAACTCCGGACAGACTCCCGCAAGGCCTGGCTTTTCAGAGCAGGGAGCCAGGGGAAAGGGGGTGGGGAAAGAAAAAAAAATGACAACCCAGAGCGCAGAGAGGAGTTAGAGGCTTCGCTCGTCGCTCAAGTGCTGCTCGTTTCCTCCCCAGCCTCTGCTCTTCGGGTTTTCTCCTCCTTCCTCCCCAACCCCCCGCCTCCCCCACCTCCACCCCTAGGCTGGTTCGGGCTTCCTTTTTTTTTCTCTCTTAAAAAAAAAAAAAAACTAAACTGGAAAAAAAAAACGCCTTTCGGTGCACTCAACCTGCGGGCCAGAGATCTGCTCGGGGGCCGGGTTAGGCGAGGGGACAGTGACTAGGGAGGCGTCTTACCTGATGAAGTTTATCCTACCCAGGATAGTGAAGCCAGGCCCCCGGGTACGACAGAGTGGGCGCTGGTCCCGCTCACCCGCCCTCCTTGCTCACTCGCTCTCTACCCGCCGCCTCACTAGCGCGCCCGCTCGGGTCCTCCAGCTCCCACTACAGCCTCATTCCAATATGGCATCCTCTCTATGCGCATGCCCGGCACTCTTTTTTTTTTTAAGATTTCTCTTTCTCTCTGTACAGCGAACTCCTTCAACGACCTTTTCCAGCGCTTGCAAAATGTCTCAAGCCAATTAGCCTGCTGTTCGTCTTAGACTCCTTCCGCCCACAACGCGACATCCTCCCACCCCCACGCTCCGCCATACAGAGACACCTCCCCCAGCAGGCACAGTCCACGCCACGCGGCCCCCTTGGGGCCGCTCCCTTCCCTCCCCTCCTTCAACTCCCTCCATAAGTGATGGGTAGAAAGTTCACACTGCCAGCATTCCCAAACACCCATTTGCACCGACAACTGAACTAATGCCTCAATTCCTTCGCGGTTGTTTGTTTTCTGGGTTTGCAATGCCCTGATCGACCCAGTATAAAAACTTGTACTATATCTGCCCAAGAGCTTTCTAAATGGGAAGGATGAGGACCCCCCCAAAACAAAATCGATTGTCCCACCCGGTCCACCCCACCCTGCTCTTTAATTGTACTTTTCTACTAAGATTCTCAAGTGTCCTGCCTTTGGGGGAGGGCAGAGGGATCTAGGAGAGGTTTTCCATGGACTCGTAAAACGCGTGAAAAGCGGCAAATTAAGTTTGGACTGTCGGGGAGATCTACCAGCTGCGATCAGCTGGGATGCGTATGACAAAGTGCGCCAGGCTTCTTGTGGGACACCTGGCCAGAATGGGTTCCCAAAAGGTGGGGATAAGAATCCCTGAGCAGATCGAGAAAAACGAAGACTGCGGAAGAAGATCAACGCAGTCTGATTTGCGGGGTCAGTCCGCACTTTGTCACAGATGTGGTGGGAGGACAGAAGAGCTTTCCCAGCCTTAGGCGCAATGACTGGACAGAACGCAAACGAAATGTCCCCGGTACGGAAAAGCTGGCGACACTTAGGTAGACAAGATCCGCGGCTTACAAAGCTAGGAAGCAGAGGCGAGGTGCGAGTGTAGATCCGATTATATCGACTAGGAAATGAGCAGACACAATTGCTCACGGTCTTTGCCTTTGCAACCCTACATAAAAGTTGCACACGCCCGAGTCTCCTATTGCCTATCTCTCTCTTACACCAATCACTAAAAAATTGGCACATTCTGGGATTTCTGTCACCCTTCCTGATCCCAACATCCCAGATATATATCCTCCCTCATGTGATGAGGACTAGGGACCTCCAGTGGAGTTTAAGGAGCCTGGGGCTAATCTTGAGCAGGAGAACTCACCAACTATGCGGCTTTAGGTCATCTGGAAGAATCAGGAAGAAATGTGTCTGAAATGACTCTTGCCACAGATGGACCTCCACAAAACCTGTGGGCGAAAGTCAGCGATTTGGGGAAGGTGGTGGAAGTTAGGAGATCCTGAGCACTGCCAGTCGGGGAATACCCTATTTCCTTAACGTTTTTGGAGAACTCCTTAGGAGCATCGCCTCGCCCTCAGACCTCCATTTAGAACATGAGCTTCCTTAGACCCAGAAGCGCCCAGTCACTCGGTTAACAGTACTCTCTGAGACGCACATGTTAATCCCCAGCCTAAATTCGCCACTCCTGAAATTTACCAGTGTTTTAAGAACACCAAACCATAGTTCTGAGCTCATGCTTCTTAAAGTCACTGACGGCAGAGAGTCCTCAAAACAACAGTGTCAGATCCCTGAATATTACCCATCCCACCTGCGCCCGCAACTGACTCTTTCATTGTCTGGAGGCGGTTCCAAGATGGATCCATAGTGAATCCGAGGATTCTAGTGCTAGCTCTGGATCTCAAAATCTTAAGTCACCTCTTTTCTCTCATTCAACACACAATAGAGTCGTCAGAAAGAGGGGGGAACAAGATGAGAGACGTCCTTAGAAACTTAAAGCGCACAAATCCGACTTGCGCTTCCGTCCTGGAGACAGTGGTGAGGGTCTTGTCCATCCCCCAAGTGCAAAGCGCTCTTGGACCGGAATGGCCTGGAGCTCAAACTGGCTCCTCCAACTTCCCAAAGCCGCAGGCTGGGGCTGCGCTAGGCGCCCTAGGCTGCGGGACTCCTTTGTGCGACCCAGACCGCCCACCTAGCTCCCAGCTCCCTACAGGACTTCCGGGCAGCTCTTGTTTGGAAGGAAATCGGATTTTATCAGTCCACCAGCCAAGAAACTTGAGTTGTAACCAACCCGTAAGAAGTCTCGGGTCTACTTAATGGTCTTAAGTCGTGATTCCCCGTAGAACGTTATTCCATCAAAATTTTAAAACACACATCTGATTCTCTTACCTGATTCTCCAAGGCAATTGAGCAATTCCTCCAGATGGTTGATACTCAGACCCACGTTATATAATTTTGCCCGTGGATCTAAAATAAATGGCTCGGAGTTCCATTTATTTATTTATTTACTTATCTACCTGTCGTGGTTAAGGAATAAAAACATTGCGCTACCACAGCACACAATGGCTGCATTGTTTACACAAAGATCTTCGATGGTACCTACAGCGATCTGTCTCAAAGTTCAGTTTCCTTCTCTTTTGATTCATTCCTTGCATGTGACTTTCTTTAAAGTCACTTGCCTTTTCTTGTCTTTCTGTCTTTCTGTCTTTCTTTCTTTCTTTCTTTCTTTCTTTCTTTCTTTCTTTCTTTCTTTCTTTCTTTCTTTCTTTCCCACCTCCCACTATTCTCTTTTATCCAAGGACACCAGAGAGACAAATGAAGACTGGTTAACAGATTCCCTCAGGCAATTAAAGCGACCCCCTTCATCCTACTCCAATGCCTTCCAATTTCCATTTTCATTTCACAACCAGACCCTTTTGGGATGTGGGAATCCAAATGTGGGCTCCACCTCCAAATCAATAAAAACAACAACCTTTGCCAAGAATAAAGAAGTAGTGAAAAAAAAAGACTTTTTTTTTCCAAAGTAAAGACAAATTGCACTCCAGCTCAGAAAGTCAAGTAAGTCTCACGATTAATACAAGATTTGTCTCAGCGTCCTTAACACTTACGGAAAATCTCTTCCCAAATAAGTCTTTGATAGAAATGGCTATAGGCGCCATTGTACTCCTAAATTCTAGCTAAACCATGGCTATCATTACCATGTTAAAATATTCAATTTCCTTTTGTTAACTGCAAAGTGTGTACATGCTCTTCCATTTCTTTGGTGACACAGAAAAGAAAATTAGGAAGTTCACAGACAAAAGTTTCTCCTTCGTTTTCTGTACATTCCTAAGAATTGTATCATGAGAACTTGCAGGCTTGGAAAAGTGTGTGCTTATATTTATATTAAAGGCATGCAGGAGTTTAAATCTTGTTGCATTCTTAAAATAAATAAATAATAAAAATAAATACATGCTGCTTACTTGCTTAGGCATATCCAGTGTTTATATTATCACTCCTTTCAAGGGAAAAAAGAGAGGAAATCGCCTTCCCAGAGACTCTTCCTATGTGAATTTTCTTTAGCAGATACAGGGTATGGAAGCCTGCACAAACCAGGAGCGCTAACAGCCAAAACTAATATTTGACAAATGTGTGCAATCTGCTCTTCCCGGGAACCTTTACTCCCAAACGTGTTTTCTCTTAGTCCACATAAGAGAGCATTTCCTATCCCCTCCTAAGTCACCAAGTCCAAATTCTCTCTCTCTCTTTTTCATCCTTCTTTCTTCATCCCTTATCATCATTAAAGTACTTGGCCAGAGTGCCAGGAATCGAATGACCTTGGTGCTTGCTTTGTCATCAATTTATCTGTATAAGCTCTGGGAATCCAGTGGCCTATCTGCTGCGCCTTCTCCCAGTGTGTAAACTAAAGGCATGGAGCTAGATGTTCCGCAAAGGCTTTTAAGACTCCAAAGTATATCTAGCGACTTGCTTTACTCCAAAGCCATACATTGCTTTCTGTAATATCCTAACACTATCTCTACCAGTTCCATATAGGGCAAAGCATGAACTCTGGAGGTCACAGAAAGAAAGAAAAATCAAGTGCACAGATCTGTGGGGCCATCTTTGCCTGATTGTCCAGGGAAGCTATTCTTTGGATCCTGTTTCTTCCTTTCTGGGCTTCTGTTCCGTTATTACCATTACTGTGTGGGTTTTGTCTTGGCCTCCAGAAATATCCAGGACTGAGGTGAGTGTGCCAAACATGAAGGTGATTTCGAAAAATACTTGGAGAAAGAAGGCATACTCACATGGCTAAAGAATTATTAATCTGTATTAGTGATGTTCACAAAAATATAACCACGTCTCTCATGTATTTCTAGAAATTCCAGAGACTCATTATTGCTATGGCTACTTGTGTAATTTCAAGACATTTGGGGTTCCTTTGGAAAGAAAAAAAAATAAAAACATACACAAAATATTTTAAAAGCGCACTGTGTCTAGATGGGGCATTTTTTTTTTTCTTTTTCAAAGAGCAAACATCTTGTTTGTTTGTAGAGTGTCAGTTAGACTAATGGCTACTTTCTCCACGGAGGAAAATCCTGACAAACATTACTAAGGACTTTCACAGCTACTGACTTGAACACCTGGGCACCCAGGAACGTATCTGAGCGGACAATGGTTCACACATTGCATCACATGACGTTTTCTCTCAGGCAGCTTGTTTCCTGTCCTGCAGCCTCAGGCCCAGTCATTTTGAGAGCTGGAATCCAGAAGGACTATACAGTCAGTGCCATTAACTAGACAGAGCAGTAGGAGCAGCGCTCTGGCTTTCTGCTTCTGGCCCTTTCTGTGCTCCGAATGATAACAGAAAGGGGGGTTTTGCTTCCATTTCATTTCATGTAGCCCAGGCTAGCCTTACACTCACTCATATACCAGAGGACGGTGGGTCCTCACAAGCAGCAACCCAGCTGTTTCTAATGGGATTCTAGGGATCAAATCCAGGGCCTTATGAATTTAGCCAAGCACTCTACCAAGTGAGCCATTTCCCCAGTCCCAGACACTTGTCTAGGCATATTTTCATACACGATAGCATGTGATAACTACTAGTCAATACCGTGTATGACGTTTCTTCTAAATGGTTTTGAGAGAAACAGCATAAACATGTATTCCTTGATATACAAAGTTCCAACTCTTTGTCACTCTACCTAGACATTGTAT